TGGAATGGCTATTCGGACAGGTATTAGACGGTGACATCATGTGTTTACTCTTGAACACTGCAAAGAATTAAACATTTCTTCTACAGCTAATAATAACAATAGTAATAATAATAATAATAATAATAATAATAATAAATATGATATAATTGAAGAAGGAAATTGTACAAAAATACGAGGGAGTGGTTGACACATCGTCAGTGTGATTTTGTTTATGCTGGAGCGAACATTAGTCTCCCTGCTCTTCCAAACATTTCACAATAATTCATTGTGTTTGGTGCTTGTAGATTGAGTGTGACTTGAGTGGTAGAGGCAGTGATTGAGGCAGTGGTATTTAATAACATAAATGTTAATAATAATACATGTTATTAATAATAACATGTACTATTATTATTTATAACATATATGTTATTAAATACCACTGCCTCAACCGCTGAATTATTGTGAAATGTTTGGAAGAGCAGGGAGACTAATGTTCACTCCAGCATAAACAAAGTCACACTGACAATGTGTCAACCACTCCCTCGTATTTTTGTACAATTTCCTTCAATTATATCGTATTTATTATTATTATTATTATTACTATTGTTATCATTAGCAATAGCAGAAATGTTCGATTCTTTGCTGTGTTCAAGAGTAAACACATGATGTCACCGTCTAATACCTGTCCGAATAGCCATTCCAATATGCAGTCATGAATGGGTTCACATTATTTATTCTGTAGTTTAATAGCAATTAATGAACAAACAAAACACTCACCACACTGAGTGGTGGGAGGGCTGGCTGCCAGTTGCGAGGGTCGGAGGGAGGGTAGTAGGGACTCACAGTGGTGGAGGCATTGGTGGAGGCATTGGTGGAGGCAGTGGTATTTAATAACATACATGTTATTAAATAACATACGTTATTAAAGCATAACATGTATATATTTAGTACAATTTACGACGTTTTCATGTATTTTACGATTATTCATGGTTCAACAAGTTAAGGAAGCAGTATTGTAATATATTTCCCTACAATATATTGGGGCACCAAACATTCACGGTTTTTCAACATTCGCAAGGCTCTTGATCCCCTAACCCTCACGAATGTTGAGGGAGACCTGTATACATTATATACAGTATTGGTCTCTCAGGCCCCAAATGTTAGTAGGAAAAGAAAAAAATTAGAAAAGAAAAAACTACAAAAAGCGGTAAATAAAGTAATGTGCGTATGTGGAAATCATCGATGTTGCCACTACCACGTCATTTGGGGTCAACTTCTCGGCACTATCTCAGTAAGTACTGATCAGAAATTTTTTTTTTTGTCTTATTACCTTCACAAAAATATACTCTAATTCTGTAAGAAATTTTTTTTTTTTTTTTCAAAATTTCTTGGACACTGGAGCACCACTTCAGATTTTGGCCTTGGACCCTGAAGGGGTTAAAGTTCTACTTTACCGACAGACAATATATCTACAACAATGGCAACCTAATCAATTTGACCTATCAACAGAGCCTCAGGGGAGTATCTTTGGCCCTTTATTAGTCCTCGTCTACATTAATGACCTTCCTAATGCATCTCAGGAACATGAACCAGTTCTGTTTGCATCTGACAACTTTTGTTATCCCCTGTTTGGATCCAGTTGTCCTCAGTGCTGTTAATGATAGTCAAAGATATCTACACCCCGTCAACTAACTACATAAAAACCACCTAGTGGTTCACACTTACACTCACTCACCCATTTGACTATAAGCACAAAAATATGAATCTTAATCTTAAAATGATTCCTAACTAGTCACAAGTTTGTCTGTGATACTCCAATATAGAAACTATGTATTGTGCCAAAACAAAAGCATTCACATTGCTAAACTCACAAACTAGTATTTAGTCACTTAGTATTTAGTCAACTTGCTCCATAATTTGTAATAATTTAGGGTTAAGAATTTATCTAAGTTTGCCCGAAATGCCTAGCCATGCTAGGTGTCCTAGTGGCCCCCTCTGTAATTAGTATTTTATTACATGTGAACCACACAACCAAAATCTGTAAACCCCGCATTGTAATCCTTATAGAGAATAAACTTGATTGACTGATACTTGGATGACAACCAATCAATTCGATTTTAACAGTGACAAGAATTTCTAAAAGAGGTTTGAGAACAGAGCTAAAAATGTACAACTGAATATAATGGTAAAAGATATTCTCATAGGATTATGGAAAACTCTTAGGTTTGCAGCTTAGCAGCAATTTAAAATTGAACACTCATATCCAAAACATGTATGTATGTATTACTATTACTGTATAGGACAATCAAAACAAATATAAACCCAGATCTGGAACACTTTCTGTAGACCTGCAACAGAACTCATAGGCCTAATACAAGAAATGAATACCCCCTCGATGTCCTCAGTGTTTGACTCAGCCCAAGTAAAATTTTCCGTGTGCATAAAAGGTAGGCCTCAAAATCGGGAACACACTATATGAATATCCCAAAGGTTCCCTCTCTGCTTATCACACCAAAAGTAT